CAAAAGATGAAATACAGGAAGAAGAGGAAAACAGCCTCAACTGTATGTGACTGTAGCAGGAATTTAGGTACACAAATAAGGCATTTGTAATTTATGACATTACTACACATCTGCTATTTTGGCATTGCTGATGAAGTTTATTGTGGATTCTTCTGAGAAGTAGTTAATCCTATTTCTGCCATTTCCGGTTTGACAGGTACCCATTTCTCTCCAAATGCCACTTTAAATGATCCCCTTGAGCCATAGGATTCCCTTGTTTTGCAAGATTTTTCCAATTTTCACTGGCAACACAAATAGAATTCGCAAATATTATTACTGCAAGACAAGAATATCCAAGCTACTACCAACACATATATTGGATTGTATTAGAATTCCTCCCCCCACCCTATCAGCACTGCAAAGCTTATTGTATGTGCATTATGCAATGTTTATTTTAGCAATAGCACTTAAGAGTATATTTCGTATCTCCCCTCATTGCAGGTTGGGAGGGAGAGAACCCTAAAACAGTAAAAAAAAAGTATACCCCCACCTATGTAGTGCAGTACTATTAGCTTTTTACACATTAAATTCTAAAAAAAAAAAAGTTTGATCCTTGAGATTGTAGTTTGCATCGTAGCTATAAGCAATCCTCAGAACTGCGGTTTAAATAAATGCTCCCGCTCTTTCAGAGGTGGTTTGGACTTTGAATCAAGGAATCCTTCATTCGAAATACAAAATATTTGCACGAGCAAGTCAGGGCTATCGGATAGGGCTGCAAACCTTCCAGCGATCGCCAGACCACAACTAAGAGGTAACTTTCCGCTGCCATCTGGTGGTCGTATGAATCTCTGTCCAGTTCATACAATCCTAAACTTGTTCTCCAAAGTTCTCCCAAGCCCTTACCAGTTGTGTTTTACGCCTCTAGGAATGTACATTAGAGTATTCAAATCCAGTAACTCTTATTCGCCCTTTCAAGCGCTTAGATGTCCCTTCGACAAAATGGGAGGCACATCACTGACAGTTTCGATTTCAAACCCAATAGAGACGGGCTCCACCTGCAAAAACAGCGAGTCCTTCATATTTTCAACTTGGTGCCCTGCCTCTCTCCCCCCCCCCCCAAGAAATAAAAATAGCCAATCTTATCGCTCAACAATTTCGGGTTCATATCATGAAAATAACAGGCTGAAACTGCATTGCCAGACTGCGGTTTTACTTAAATAGTCAAGTACAGAGATTTTTTGCACGTGAAACTGTGGAATCAAAGGAACGGCAGGCGCTCTCTTGCTCATAACTTACTCTTTCCTATCATGCGTTCACAACTGCAAATCACTTTCTAAACTTTCTAGGGGATTTTTCTCACTTCCGCCTCTGGAGCAATGAGGGGATATCGAAATTTTTTTCCTACATCCGTTTCCAACCGCACTTCCTTCGGTTTGCAGCTACCGGGATCCTGTGCCGGAGCTGGAACAGCCCATTCCTCCCGTCATGCTCAGCGATGCCGTTGGCTCAGTCACAGCGAGGACGGCCTGGTGGGCGGGGGTTCAAAGCGGAGGGCGGCAAGCACCGCGGTTAAGGCTGGTTAGGAGGTCGCTAAGCGGAGCAGTATGGCGGCGGTCTGCGCAACTTCAGGGGAGCTCAGCCTAATGGATAAAGGCATTAAGAGGTGAGAACTGTAGGGAGGAAGTGGAAGCCCTGCAGAGGGGGTTTCGGAGCTTTTGTTATATCCTGTCCGAGGTGTTGCGACTGCGAGGCTGCATCATTTTTGCACACTTAGCGGTGCTTCCCCTTCATCTGGTTGTCATGCAGAAAAGTGCTGTGGTACATTTGGGAAAACAGCTCCACCTTTGAAGATTTCCCCCCTCCCATCCCCTGGCCATTTTAAAGTAGACTGGGAGATGATAAGCCTGAATTGTTGGCCAAATACTATTTCGCCTTTTAAACTATTGGAAGAAATTTAAAAGGGATGCTTCACAGAATGTGTGGTCTTATTTATGTGGAAGAAGATGGCAAGTAAGTTGAGGCCATCCTGTTTAACAAAAAGTCTTTCCATAATGTATAATTTAATATACATCTGCTATCATAATGTCACTACCATGGAATTGATAGCATAGAATTAGAATTCTTCACTTTGGTGGAGAAAAATTCATCAAGGGCTGCAAGTCATGGTATATTTTTATTCATTAATATATATTTGATAAAGTAGATCACAACCTACTCCTTGGTAAGCTAGAAAAAAATAGAATAGACAATATTACCACCAGATGGATCTGTAGCTGGCTGGCAAACCGTACTCAACGAGTAGTCCTCAATGGCACTACATTAACATGGAAAGAAGTAAGCTGTGGGGTACCACAAGGTTCTATCTTAGGCCCAGTACTCTTCAATATCATCATCAATGACTTAGATGAGGGAATTGAAGGGGAACTCATCAAATTTGCAGATGACGCCAAACTGGAAGGCATAGCCAACACGTCAGAATACAAACTCAGGATTCAAAAAAGATCTTGACAAACTTGAACAATGGGCCCTATCGAACAAAATGAGTTTCAGTGTGGAGAAAAGTAAAGTTTTACATTTAGGGAGGAAAAATCAAAGGTACAAATACAGATTGAGCAAGACCTGGCTCAAAAACAGTAACTGTGAGAGGGACTTTGGAGTCCTAGTGAACGATCACTTAGCATGAGCCAGCAGTATGCAGCAGCAGCCAAAAAAGCTAATACAATCCTGGGTTGTATAAACAGAGGCATAGAATCAAGATCGCGCAAGGTATTAGTACCGCTTTATAAAACCCTAGTAAGACCACACCTGGAATATTGTAGCCAATTTTAGTCACCATATCACAAAAAAGATGTTGAGAGTTTGGAAAAAATTCAGAGAAGAGCAACTAAGATGATCAAAGGCCTGGAAACTAAAACATACGAAGAACGGCTGCAGGACTTGGGTTTGGCTAGTCTAAAGAAAAGAAGAAATAGGGAGACATGATACCAGTATTCCAGTATTTGAGGGGCTATCACAAAGAAGAGGGGGGGGTCACGTTATTCATCAAAGCACCAGAGGGCAGAACAAGAAACAATGGTTGAAAACTGATCAAAGAGAGAAGCAACCTGGAATTAAGGAGAAACTTCCTGACAGTGAGGACAATTAACCAGTGGAATAGCTTGCCCCCAGAAATTGTGGGTGCTCCATCACAGGAGATTTTTAAAAAGAGGCTAGACAGTCAATTGTCTAGATGGTATAGGTCAGTGGTGGCAAACCTATGGCACGTGTTCCAGAGGCGGCACTCAGAGAATTCTCTGTGGGCACACGCACCGTTGTCCAGCTTCACCTCCCCCTTTGGTCTCCTCACCAGCAGCCCCCCAGAGGTGAGTCGCCCCTGGGCGTGGCCCATGCAGAGCAGCGCAACCAAGGACATGTCATCCAGGCAGCAGACTCCACCCTTGCGCTCCGTCGCATGCAGATGATGCTGCAGGGTGCAGGTGGAGGGTGTGGCCACCATGGTGCTGCAGGGCCCCCTGGGCGATCTGGGGCGGGCCATGGAGATGGTAGGTTGCCTGTGGGCAGGTGGGGTGGGGGTACAGTGAGTGGGGCGGGACGAGGGGCGGAGCGGGGAGTAGGGTGGGTTTGGGGCACTCGGCGTCTAAAAGGTTCACCATCACTGGTATAGGTTCTCCTGCTTAAGCAGAGGGCTGGACTAGAAGGCCTCTAAGGTCCCTTCCAATTCCTATTCTATTCTATTCTATTCTATTCTATTCAATACTAATTTGGATTACTGCAATGCCTTTGAAGATTACCTAAAACTTCAATTGATCCAGAATGTAACAGTTTGCACAGTAATTGGGACCCCTAGTTTGCTCTTGTAACACCTTTGTTACAAGCTGCACTAGCTTCCAGTTTCTTCCCAGGTGCAATTCAAAATGTTGATCATCATTTTAAAGTCCTATATGAAACAGAGCCAAGTTATTTGCTGGACTATCTCTCTTTAAGGACATCTACCCATCCTATCGGGTCAGATAGGGTTGGCACGTTCCTAATCCCGTCCCTTAAATGTTGCTATTTGAAAGGAACTAAGAGGCATGTCTTTCCCATGGCAGCCCTGTGGAACACTCTGCCTCATGAGGTTCAGCAGGCCTCTACCTTCCTAGCCCTGTGTAAAGCTTTGAACACTTGGCTTTTCCTCCAAGCACTGGGATAAGATTAGATGACTGCACAAAGAAATTTGACTTGGCACAATAAGTATTTGTTAATACTAAAAATTTTTTCCAGAGAATCCTGAAAATACTGGTGTATCTCGTATACAGTGTTGTTTGATGGGCTTGAACACTTGGTACTTGTTATAGATAGTCCTTGATTTATGAGCACAAAACTCCCCTTTTTACAATCTTGTAATCCCTTAATTCAGGGTAGAGTCATAGCAACTGGACAGAGCTGAATGTTTACTAGTTGGATGCCCTTCCTGACACTGCATGGAATTCGCATCAGATATTTTTTCTTTGCACCCTAAAGAGAAAAATCTGCCGCTACCAAGGATTGAACTTTTAACCTTCCAAGCCCAATTGAGCACCAAATTTCTGTTGCTAAGCGAATTTTGCCCCATTTTCTGACCTTTCTTGCCCAGTTGTTAAGTGCTGCTTTTAAGTTAATAACATGATTATTAAGTAAATCTGGTTTCCCCATTGACTTTGTTAGAGGGTCACAAAAGATGATCACATGATTCTGTGACACTGCAACCATCCTAAATATGAGTCAGTTGCCAAGCATCTGTATTTTGATCACATGACCATGGGAAAACTGAAACATTTGTAAGTGTGAAAAATGGTCATAAGGCACTTTTCCAGTGCCATTGTAAATTTGAATGGTCACTTAATGAACTGTTGTAAGTCAAGGACTACATGTATTTCAAAGTTTCTACATACTGTTAAAACTAATGTTTTGTCATATGTTCTTCATTTGTAGTTTAGCAGAGCTACCTTTAAGTTCAGAACTTCACACACTCAACTTGCACTGTAACCTGATCTCCAGAATTGAAAGTCTTGACCACCTCTTGAACTTACAACATCTAGATCTGTCATCAAATCGCATACATTGGATTGAAGGGTTAAGTTGCCTTGCAAACCTGCATACCTTAAATTTGGCTTGCAACTTGATAACCAAAGTTGAAGGTCAGTCCTTAGATCAAGGCTTGATGTTGCATTAATACAGGTTTCCTTCCTTTTGTGGGATGAACTCAGAAGCAGTGTTTCCCAAACTTGGCAACTACTGAAAGTGTTGACTTAAGGTCTGGAATAGCAATTCTAGGAAGTTCACACATCTTGATGTTACCATGATTGGGAAGCTCTGTGTAGAGGGATTCTTAACTGGGGTTCTTAACTGTGGTCTGTAGATAAATTTCAGGGAATCTGTGTACATGAATGGGAAAAAGCTGCAACTTTATTCACTTTTTTTCATTCAGTAATGTACGTTAGCAACAATCTGATTTATGATCTCTAAACTTCAAAAGTTTTCACTTTAATGAAACTCATCAAAAATTATACCTTAGAAAAGATATTGTTATAAATTTAATGGATTAATAAAGAAGCACCTATATTGCTATAATTGTTATTTTTTTAACATTTTGGTAGCCATACTTGGGCATAATTGATTTACATTGCATTTAAATACATTTTTCTGAAACAAGGTCTATAGATTTCACCTGGCTCTCAAAAGGATTCATGACAGAAAAAGGTTAAGAATTCTTAGAATAGAGAAACCTTGCTAAAGGATTCTTATTGATTCCCTTGCAGATATCAGTGCTGTCTCTCATACTGTTCTGAATGGCTTCTCAAGACCCTCAGACAAAAGAATTAATAGTGCAGATTCCCGCTTCCCAGAGCTTCTCCAATGGAAATGTCTAGACTAGTGTTTTGAAGATATGTTGACTGTACCTCACAGAATTCCCTCATCATACTGGCTAGGGAATTCCGAGAATTGAAGTCCATTTGTCTTCAAGTTGACAAGGTTGAGAAACACTGGTCTAGTACAATACGTAATACTACTTGTCGAAAAGCTGGATCAAGCCTGTTTGAACTTTCCAAAGCTTGAAGATTTATTTGAAAATGAATTCATTAGGAAAACCATTTTTAAAGTATTAGCTGGAATTTATATTTCTGAAACTTGAGAAATGGTAACTATTTGCTGCTTCATAGAAACCTGGTAGGATAAACCACAGAATATTCTGAATATACTGAAATATATTTACATGCCTAAAGAACTCTGCCACATCATTTAATAATGGAGGCTGAATAAGAAATGGCTCTTAAGACTTGTCACATTCCCATTCCCCTTTCCCCCTTTAATTAGAGTTTTTGAATGTTGGAGATTTACAGCATTTTTGTAACTTGACCCATTAAAAGGATGCTTGTAGAGATTTAGCATTTTTAATGGCCTGTGCCTATTTGATACTAATGGTTTAGCAATACTTTTTAATTGTACCTTGCCCAGAGTCACAAATCTGTGAGATGGGCAGCTATTTAAATATGTATAAAAATATGCAATGATATCAGAAGTACACTGCTGCTACAAGAAAACTGTGTGCATTCTGCAGCTCTCCCTCACTCCATCCTTCCCCTCCCCAAGATTTCTACTATGTTCTGAATTCTTTGGCAGCCTAATGCCAAACCAGCTGTAACTGAGTCAGAAGACTAAAATGGCTATGCTGAGGTTCACAATTAAAGTACATAATCAGATCAGGAATAAAAGAGATGAAGAGTTCAGGGAATCATAACCTTTGGCTTGGCTACCTAGGCTAGTCTAAATTAATGAACCTTCGTAAGTATCCTAATGTTAACTTATGATCCATTTATAAATGAAGAAGGGGGCAGCAGGCTTAGTCAGGATTTGTAAAGGATACATAAAATAAGGTAAAGCTATCAGAACAATAGCTCTTTTAAGAGTTAAGCACAGAATGCTGACTAATTGGATGTGGTAGTAGAATGCTCACAGAATGGCTAGAAATTTTGAAGTATTTCAAACTGAAATATTTGTAGGGCTCACTTCTGATTGTTTGCTTATACAATTGCTTTCATTTTAAAAAGTTGTCTCTTCCTTAGGGCTGGAAAATCTATATAATTTAACTAAACTGAATTTATCTTACAACCGTATAGATGACCTTTCAGGTAAGAGATTTTCGGTTCAATCCTGTGAACATCTACTCAAACCTAAATGTTACTAACTTTGAAGGAACTTATTTGGAAATACCTATGTGCAGAGCCTATCACAGTGATAGTCATTGGCTTCAAAATGTTAGGCACAGCCAATTGATGAAAGCCCTACCTTTTTTTATGTGCATGCAATGCATTTGAGGCATAATTTAAAGAGAGTAGGATTAGGATTACTGGATGCATGCACCATTTTGAGGCCAAAGATGCTGACACCCCTGAATATGTTTGTGCCACTGCGGTTTTGGAGGTTATTAGAACTGTTAGAAATAAAGGCAGTTTATCAGCAGCACTAGCTCAATACATTCTAGTGTCTATAGCTATCAGCTTATAAGGTATTCCAGCAAGAAACACACCAAGATGTACTAGCTCTATTTTATTGTAAGGTAACATTAACAGAATCTTGCAAGTCTGAAAGTACATTTCTCGTCCGTTGCCTTTACAGTCCAAGAAATTAGGAAGGGTCCCTTCTACGTTGCTTGCCATATCCACACTCCTTCTGACTGTTGCCCTGGCTGTGTCTCGTCCTGTCCCAAAACCATTCCCACATATTTTTACAATGGCTGAAAATCCAAATGGTGCCTGCTCTGTGATGATCTCATAACATATTGACAAATTGTCATTCTTGGTTCCTAAATCAATGCCCTCTTTGAATTAGTCTCTCTCCCCCCTATTCCTTGGTTTGGCAAAATCTGCTTTGCAATCATAATTGTTCTGTGGAGATATGCACAAGCCTTTTCCCAAAAAATAAATAAATAAATTTGGAATACTTTACAAAAGTAGAAGAACTTTTTTCCTATTTTAATTAAACTGTGCATAGACAGATGGTTTTTTGACATTTCATCGTTTATTATTGACTTTATTTTTTATAGGACTTCTACATCTTCGAGGACCCAACTATAAAATTAATCATATTGAACTTCACGGCAACTGTGTAAATAACATTAACCATTTACTTCAATGCCTTAGTGGATTGCAATACTTGACTAATCTTACTTTGGAGAAAAATGGAAAAAGTAACCCAGTGTGTGCCAAAATAGGTAAAAGTGTTGCAATTGTTCGGATGGATAGGATAAAATCTAGTGCAAATGAAACTAATTTGGAAAAGCATTTGGGGGCTTTTCAGAATGCAGTTATAAAGTAATTTCTTTTATTATCTGAAGGCTACAGAGAGATTCTCCTTCAGGCTTTACCTCAGCTATCCATCTTGGATGGGAAGAATATATTTGGTGAACCGGTCAGCTTAATGGAACCAAACTCATCTGATTTGAAGTGCTTGGAAGATCTCTTAAGCTGTTTAGTTTCATCCAGTTGTACAGATGAAGAAGAGGTGCTGTAAATTAATATATTTTTTCCTTTTATTTGAAGTTATAAAATTAGTTTGAATTTTTCTCTTTATGACTTAGAATTTTTAATTTTTCTTAATAGACTTATGTTAATTTGCCAATAATAACACCACGTATTGATCAAGTATTAGCCCAGTTTCGCCAGAGGGCAAAGATGTCAGCTTGGACTACCACTAGTTCTTCCACTGAAATAATGTCATCTTCTGAGCCAGAAAAAAATAAATTTGATAATGACTCAAGGATAAAAAAACTAGAAGAACAGATATCTCACCTCCTGCAAAAGGTAGTAACTTTTAATGTTTTTTTTTTTAGTTTAGCTTAATAAACGTTTGTTGGTATATTTTCATTTGCATCATATTATTCCAACAGAAGAAAATATATGTAGCTCAGGGTTGAACTGTATTTTTTTTATAACATTGCCTGGGTATCCATTTTGTTGGAAAATATTGTATAAGTAGTCTATTCCTTTTTCTGGTGTTCTGATTGCTTCAGTGTGTTTGTATTTGTCTGAATAATGTTTTTACTTGGCTCCTCTTGTGGGAGATCGGGTTGTTACTTTGGTAATGGAGTACTTTGTTAGTGTAGTTGTTTTTCAATGTGTTTTTTATTTCTAAAAACATACTACCGTTTCCTGGATTAGCAGAGGAAACAACAGCAAAAAAGGGAACAGGATCAGATCAACATATTCTTATTTTCAGGTTACTAATTTTTCAAAAGCTGATGTGACTGTCAAAGCCAAAAAAGAAACTGATTTTGCCTCAGAAAGTGGTAGTGAAAGTGGAAAAGAGAATAGAAAAACAATTAAAAGGAGCAAGTTGCCTAATTATCGGAAAAGCACTTTATCAACCAAGTTCCATTCTCAAAGGGGCAAACTGTCAGCCAGGTATGATATCTTAGTTTTAATTCAGTTATCACTGCTTTCATATTCACATGTAGTCTGTTACTCTTTTATGAAAATAAGTAATTTGCAGAATTGAATGTAACCTGATTTTCATGAAAATGAGACTAATTAATGGTGAAGCCTAATAGTGATAGATCTTATCTTTGACCCTTTCTATAAATAATTTCTATTTTCTCTTGTAACTTGGATAACAAAGCTAAAGTTCAAATGTAGCTGTTGAAAATTGCTGGTTTTGGATATATTTTATTTACTGCCTGAAAAGGTAATCCAGTGGTATATTTGCAGAAATTATAGAAAAGATACATTGTTTGGAGAAATTTACCTGTGGGATAGCTTTATAACTTTTAATCCCTTTCTAATTACTTTGTGTCCCTTTAAAAAATGCCCACTTGATATTCTGGAAAGCTTTTATCCATTCCAATATGCAAATTCAATTTCTATTTCACTTTAGAGAACAAGAGAAACATTTCATCAAGTCTAAGTTTCAAGAATCCCACATCAAAGAGGGAGAAAATTCAAGCCCAGCTTCCGAAATCGCAAGCTTGAAGAAATTGGGTGGGCAGAAAAGTCAAATGAAAAAATTAAAAAATGTGGATACTGGTATTCAAGAAGAATTCACTTACAGGGTAGATATATTTATTATTCTGAAATTATGTGAGCCTGAGAAATTTTCTTTTTTGCTTTGTAGAATTGATATAAACTTTAAATTAAAATAAAATTGGGGTAGCTTTTGTTGTAATAGAAGCAAGGGATTTTTGATACATTACTAGTGTGTTTCAAAAAAGGCATTTTGTTCTTATTTAGGCACTGATTCAAGAATTAGATCAGGAGAGAGAGAAGCGATGGAAAGCTGAACAAACTGAAAAGAAACTGAGTGAAAGCATCAAGCACCTGCAGAATCAGGCCAAAGAAGAAAAAGATATTCAAAGTTTAGCTGTTTACACTACAGATAGGTGAGTATTAGCATACTCTATAATTTCTTTTGAGTTGACAATATGTGGTTGCAATTCACTTGGAGAGAATTTATTCATTCCTATATTCTTAAGCCCTTGAGAGTAGTAAAATATGACCAGTTCTTGTAGATATATATAGATTAGCAAATTGTTGAACTCACTATATCTTTCAGATTACAGAGTTTCTAAGTTCTAAGGAGACATTACTTTTGGCATTTCTTTCAGTGAATTTGATGGATATTATTAGGTAAGAAAATGGCCTAGGAATGGCAGAGCGAGGTGATCCTGAGCCATAGAACTTCAATGAGTTATTTGATCTGCAAGTAACTCCCTGGCCAATTTGATCTTGCAGGGACAGTACGCACTCCAGGTGTCTTCAATTAAACCTTTGTAAGTTATTAAAACCCTGGAACTGCCCTTACACTATATTAATGCCTATCCTTTGGAATGAGGTTCTCTCCAAGATCTGGATGGTCCATGTTCTTCATATTACTAGCTGTCCAAGGTTTGATTCTCTTGCATCATGATTTAATCAAGAACATCTCAGTTCAGATATGCTTTGACCAGAATAGTTGTTCTGACATCTCTTCATTTGCTCAGTCAAGAGTTTAAATAGCTGTTTGAATTAAAATAATGAAGTTGTTGTGGGAAAGATAGGAGGAAGGTGTGTTGGATATGTTTATCACGTTGAATTATTTCTAAAATTAATAAGGTGGAATATAAATAAATAAATATACCATCTACATATATGTTTCTCAGGTTAAAGGAACTGATTCTGAGAGAACGAAGTGCAAAGAGAAGACTTCAGACTGATATTCAGCAACTGAAAGAAGAAGCTGAAAAACTTGGTAAGGAGCTAGAGCGGTCCAAGCACAAAGAAAAGGATCAACAAAAGACACTACAGACTTTAGAAGAAGCTCTCTCCATGCTGGAGTCACAAAAAGCACAGCAGCAAGCTTCAGAGGTATAATTGTTAGTTCTGAATATAAAAAAGATTGTGTTAATATTACAGTTAAACATTTCTTTGCTTTTTGAAAGAAAAAAAATTAATGTGATCATAGCTGTGCTTGATATATAAAGAATAACTCTGTTCTTCCTTGAATGTGGCCAGATGAATTGCTTATATAGATTTTTGGAGCATGTTTTAAGAAGTTCATCAGAATGATAAGAGTCAGTAGCATTTGTGTTTTGATATTGGATAAAAATAGCTCTGCTGATTCAATCCAAAAACTTTAAATTCTTGCTTCCACAGTGGCCAAGAGTTATAATAGGCTTGTGAAACCAGGTGATAATTTGTGAAAATTAAAAAAAAAATGTAACACTTATTAATTGTACTCTTGCTACTGTTCAAGAATATCTGCTTCTGCTATCAAACTTTGAAATTGTGATCGTTTCTCTTGCTGTTATTTCAAACACCACAGATGAAAAGGATTCAAAGTGTAGAACTTAAAGCATCAGCAGCCGAGAGAGAAGTACAGTTACTTCGAATATCTCTACAGCAACAAAAAGAAAAGGTGGAACAAGTCCACGAACTCCTAATGCTAAGAGAGCAGGAACACAGGTACATGTATCCTGATAATCCAGCAAAGATATGTAGCATTCTTGAGTAGGTGAGGAACAGCTCATTTTACATTTTTGAAACTTTGAATAAATTCTGGCTGTTTCCAACCTCTAGGAATAGCAATAGCCTACAAACCCACAGCTACACTCTGCCAGGAATTATCCAGAACCAAAACAAGATACAGAAGGACAAAAGAAACACTGTAATGTACAAAATCAACTGTAACAATTGCAGCCAATTCTACATGGGACAAACATTATGTCAATTAAAAAGCAGGATCCACAAACGCTGGCAGTTAAATGTCACAATTCCAAATCCTTAATCTCTACCAACACCAAACAACACCAGTTCAATTGGAGCAAACACAAAAATCATTGGCCATGCTACTACCCACCACACTCATGAGTTCATCGAAGCCTGGCACTCCGCAAGCAATTCCATCAACAGACACATTGACCTACAACCAGCCTACAATTGGTTTTTATACTGTTTTTTTGTTTTGACTCTACCTACTTTCTAGAACTCAATTCCCAGCACGCCAGCCAAAAACATATGTACCCTTCTGTTTTAAAAGGCTAGTGTGTAAGCTTGAAAGATAATAGAAAGTCCTTATGGCAGAAATGGTGGTTCTATAATGAAATTGTAATCCATCCAACTGGAATTTTTATGAAATCCTGGACTGTACTTTGTGTCTCCACATCAAGTGTGGGCTTCTTAGAAGTACAAAATTTTGCTGTTTGTAATTTCTGTTTATCTTAATGTGTTCTATCTTATTGTTCCAGAAAAGAACTGGAAACCAGAGTTACATTAAATGGCTCAGAATTTCAAGAAGCTCTGTCAAAAGAAGTAGCTAGAGAAGAACAGAGACATAACGATCATATTAAAGAACTACAGGAAAAACATCATCTATTAAACCAGAAATATAAGGATCTAGAGGATGAGTTCCGTGTAGCCTTAACTATAGAAGCCAAAAGATTTTCAGAGGTAAGAACAGGAAAATATATGGGGAAAGAAATCATAGGAGTTATTTTGGTCTTCAATTTCAGTAGATGCTGAATTGTCTAAGCTACATTGAAAACATATAAGGTTGAGGTCTCTGATTCTAATTCTGAAAATTGTATTTTATTTAAAAGCTTTCAAAACCTAAGGTCCTTATTAATAAGCTGCCAATATTATCACCAATCATGCAGATTTTAAAATGGCATTTGTACAAGTGACATATAATAAGACTGCATTTTTTTTCTAAAAGGTTAACAGATATTTAGAATGTTCTCTTGAAGGATCTCCCTTAACTGAGATAAATGTTTTTCAGTGTTCAAGCTGCAGGTGAAGGATGAAAAGAAAGTGGTTTGGGTTCTTCTGATACAGGCTATGTGTTCTTCTTCCTGGGGTTCCTTTCCTACACCCAGGTTTACAGTTCTAGATAGATTTTTGTATATTAATTCTTTCTAACCAGAATTAAAGTTCATTTAGTAGTAATGAAGTCATTGCCCATTCTGAGTTAAGAATACTGTAAATGTATCTGTACATCACAGTGATTCAAATGTATGAAAGACAGTCAATTGATTTAAGTCTCACTAAATTTTAAAACAATTTTGCTATTTGATCCAGTTCTTCAAATGTCCTTCAATTTTATAAACCTCTTAGCTTCATCCTTCTCATTCTAATAATACTTCTTAGAAACTTGGAGGAATCATTGAGGACCTAGCTATGAAGAATTAGTATAATCATTGAAAGAGCTTTCTGTAGATTAGTGGAATGGTTTTCTTTAAACACCTTGGCAAATGTATACTGCCTGCTTGGTCACCTCAGATCCTAAAAGTATTGTGACTGGGGTAATAATTTCTCAAAAATAGAACAAAACAAGCAAAAACCCCAGCCTTTTAGAAGAAAAACGTATTCATGAAACTTTAAAGCAGTGTATTTTTAAAAGAAATGTATTGCAAGTAAAAATTTAAAATACAATCAGTTTCATTTATTTAAATGTTTCTTATTCTGATACATTTTAAATTAACAGATGGCCTGAATTGTTTTTTCATGTGCAGGTTAATATTGCATGGTGGATGCATTTTTAAATTGAATGTCATTCATTAAAATGTTATGCTGAACACCTTATTTGAATCTTTTGTTTTCTTGCTAAAATAGGTTAAAGAAGGGTTTAATAGACTCACTGCTGAGCTGGCAGAGCATAAACAAGTTCTTCTCCATTCTCAGCAAAAGGAAAAGCAATCTTCTAATTTGATCCATGAGCTGACATCTGTGGTGAAAGAACAAAAAGATAAAATCACAGAATTAATCAGATCAAAGCAAGACATAGTGTACAACTTGAAAGTATGGTTTTTTAGATATAACTGTTATATATTGTGTTCTGTACGTTGTGTTTTCTGATGATGCAGAAACATACTTTAATAACAATAACAAAACATTTTATGATGCTGCACTTTAGTTTTAATTCCAGCTCAGTGCAATGAAAGCTATTTGTATGATCATTGAGTAAGTAGTGATGCTAAAAAGTTCAAGAAAATACATATTTATATGAAATAATTGAGAAAAATTAATAATTCAACCATTGTCATTCATGTGTGGCAAAAAATATGGTTTCTTACCATGTGGGTGAGCCATAAGAAAGTTAAAATTTACATGCTTCATTATCCCATCTCTCATTATTCATGATTCCAAGCTGGTGATGAAAAGCTTTTCCATGATGAAACATATCCTTGTGAATGGAGCACAGACAGTTAGAGAGAGCATGTAAAGTTCCTGTCTTGAAAGCAGATGCAGAAGAGAGAAGAAGGAAAAAGTGTGCTTGTGTTTCTGGGAGAAATGTCTAATTAATAAAGATGAATCTATTGTGTGGATGGAGGAGAATAGAGTAGGGTAAGATGGTATATGTTTCAAAACTTGGAAAATATTTACTTTTCAACCTGGGCAACAAAGGGTAGCTTTTTTATTCTTTAGGATTTCTTTTTATTCTTTAGCTTTCACCATTTCATTGCCCTTGATTAAATGCTTCATCGGGTTTCTGCTTTTCTAAATCTACAGTTAAGGTCATAGGAGCTCAACTAATAGATGCAAGAACTATTTTCCTTCAATGACATTGGTTTCTCCTAGAAATCACAACTAAAGGTCTTACTACTGTCAGTAATAAATGATTATAAATAAGCTGCAATATGTATTTGAAGAAGTTTGTTTTTAGAATATCAAGAGTTGTTTGTTCTATTATTTTTCTTTTTACTTTTGTGTAAAGAGTCGGATACAAACTCTTGAAAATATGGTAGAGGAAGACCAACAAAAGACAATTCAACTTGAGCTTCTTAAGCAGGAAAAATCAAAACTTATCTCCCAACTAACAGCTCAGGAGTCTGTAATTGATGGATTAAAAGCAGAAAGAAAAATATGGGGAGAGGAGCTGGCACAGCAAGGTAATTACTCATTTATCCTTTATCTAACCCTGCTAGAACCAAACAGGTTTATCTTTGTGTGCCTAATTCCCTGTAAAAGCCACAAAACTAAAGTCTAATACTGTACATAGAGAACTGCATATTCTCACCTTCCTGAAAGATCACCAAAGTAGAGAGAAGGCAACATGTCTCCTTACATTTGCTAGGAGAAAAAAGCATCTGCAAGAATCTTGCTTGGTGAACGGCTTTGAGAAATCAAAATTTTCTGAATATGGGATCAAAGTACAATAGTTGGCTATGTATCTCAATTATACAGCATATACACCTACTTGGAGGATAATTTCTCATGGATTGTGCTATTATGTTTGCAGTGCTCCACAAAGTTAAAATTATGCTTTCCTACGATGCATCTTCACACTAGAAGCAGGAGACTCTGTAAAATGAGTGGCTTTTATTTCTTAAATATCTCTAAGGCTGTGTTTCTCAGCCTTAGCAACTTTAAGATGTGTCAACTTTAACTCCCAGAATTCCCCAACCAGCATGCCAACTGAGGAATTCTGGGGATTGAAGTTCACACATCTTAAAGTTGCTGATCCTGAGAAACACTGATCTAAAGAGAACATTTAGAAATTCCATGATTCCCTAGATACTGCTTTCCAAGCCATTATTTGAAACACGACATAGTTCTTTTGACAAGAGTTGGATGTGTTTTGTCTCTGTCCAAAATAGGTTGGCATAAATAGTAACATTTGCTTCTCTTCAAATCCCAAAACAGCTTAGAGTAAATGAAGTAAATGACCTCAATGGCAATCAGTTTCCTAGCCACTACACACTAGGGAAAACAGTGCTAGCAACAATTATTATCCACTGCAGGAGGGGACTGGTCATATCATCAACTGCAATATCTAAGAAAGTGGCTGTTTTGTTTTTCAGCTACAGGGAGACAAAGTAATAATTGTATTTAGAGTTACTACATAGACCTGAACCCAAAAAAATCAGAGAAGGATCTAATCTGCTTAAGTCTACTATTTTCAAGGATAAAAATGGAATGATAATTTTTTATTTTTCTGCAGGATCCAGTCTAGGTCGGTCTCCGGGACCAGAAGTTTAATCTTCTAAGCTTTTAGACTTATGCTGGAATCCATCCTCAGGCAACTTGTCTCTAACAGAATGTCTCTCTCACACATTCTGCTAAAAAGAAATACCTTGAAAATGGGCTCCAGCATGAGTCCAAAAACTCAGAAGACTAAATCTCTGGTCCTGGTGACCAACCCAGATTGGATCCTGCAACATTATCCTGGGACACATACATTAACATTCATTCATTTTGGTTTTCTGTTTGCTTGATAGCTTATGAGGCATATATGTAGGCTTCTGGATGTTCCTGGCCTGTAGTCCAGTTATGATTACATTTCTAAGAAGATGGATTGCCTGTAAAAGCAGAAGGGCAGGCCACCACCTGAATAATAAATGAATCTGGTATTTAAAACCAGTCTGCCATTGCTGATCAAGCTGTAGATCTGCAGTGATCCCTCCTCCGTGATCTTTCTTATTTAATTTCAGTGTTTACTGTACCACAAGCACCAATGTCTTTGTTTTCCTCAGGAGCTTCCCTTGCTCAAGATCGCGGAAAATTGGAAGCCAAAATAGAAGTTCTAACTAGTGAGACTGAAACTTTGAAAAAACAAAACGAATCTCTCAATGATGTTTTGCAGATTAAGTCTAAAATTGTGGAAGATCAAACCGAAACCATTAGAAAGCTGAAAGAAGTAAGGGTGCTCTTCTTTTTTATAACTATCATAAATAAGTTTAGACTAGATCATACCTCAGTTTAAGCCTTGATTATTGAATAAGACACAGTTGGATCACAACATGCTAATCCAGAATGAAATTGATCAATGCACTGTGTGAACCCTGACAGTTCTAAAGCAGGGATATTGACACAACAGGGGCATTGGAAAGCTGCAGTGGACATGAACGGTATAGCTTCATGAACAGATTGAATCTGTTTTTATTTTTTATTTGTTATACTTTCTACTTGTGCATTGTCTTGTTACAGAGGGGAATTGGTGTAGATACCAGCACTTTTTTTTTAAGTTTGGTACCACTATTAATCTTATATTGTTTTAATTCATTGCAGTAATTAGTTTTAATGGCTTTTATTTTATTTTTATTTTTGTTAATTATAAAAGCTGCCCAATCATTAGGTGAATAAATAAATGCTGTTAAATAGAAAAGTCTTTATAAATATTGTTTGGAGTCAATCACATCATGATTAAAAATAATTTTGCTGAGTGCAAGGATAGGTATTAAATAGAAAAAGTAATTTAAAGATTTTGATTGGATTAAATCTCATGAATTTGTGAGATTGTGCTGGTAATAAGGTATTTTATAAAAAATACTGTTTTTCCTATTTGTTACTCCTTTTCAAAGTAGAAAGAATTATGAAAGTTATGTGATGAATAATAAATTTTAAATTCATTAAAACATTTTACTTTGAAGGCCTCACAGAACCGAGATGAGCAAATAAGAAAGCTTCATGAAGACAATATTGAAACACAGAAGAGACTTCAAGTACAACTACAGGAAAAAGATGCACAGTTAGATAATTTATTGGAAAAATTAGAAAGGCAAAATGAGAGAAAAGAGGAACTTAAACATCAATTGCAAGAAAAGGATGCTGAGCTGAATGATATCAAGGAATCCTATAGGTGCTTAAAACCAATATCATCTTCTACACACATTGAAATATTATGCACCATATTCATTCATGATAGGAAAAGAAACTAAGGTTAAACATTAAGCCCCTTTTCCCATTTGTAAACCTTGACATTGTCTGGTGGAAAGTCTGGCTTAATAAAGTAGGATTTTTCATGGACTATAGGCAATCTCTGAAGCCACTTAGAACATATTTATTATATTTCAGTGTGATGAATAAAAAATGGCAAGATAAAGGTGGATTGCTGAGCAAGTTGGAAGCACAAGTTAAACAAATGAAAGAAAACTTTGATATCAGGGAGCAGCAGTTGAGAGAGGAAAGAGATAAAAGTCTTCAAGCTCAGAAGTAAGTATTTTGATAAGGTCAACGCACAATGTTAAGGTAAGATTTTTCAAACCATGGGTGTGAATGAATAAGCATGCTTATAGACCATTTTATCTGAATACTAATTAGCCAAAATTCAAACTTAAGTCACAAACTCTGGTTAATTTTATTTAAGCCAAGATGCTAGTCAGTTGGCTAAGGTGCTGTGGTCAAAGCATTAAATGTCAGTTCTGGTTTACAGGGATGAGGAGTATTTTGAGGTTGTCTCTGTTTCAGTATGAAGGTCAGAAATATCTCTCTGTATGCAATTCATTCACATGATGGTTTAATAAACTAGAGCCTTTGTTTTATATGTGAATGAAGTGATTGTGTAGGCTTTTCTGCTTGTGTTATAGTGTCTTATTATGCCATACAGTTAACATTCAGAACTCATTAGATCTTGTATGCGATTTTAGAGAAAGGAATTGTTTGTAGTATAATTCATGAAGACTGCAACCATTTATTACTTTGGATTGCTGTCTATTTTTATATTTTTTGAAGCAGACGTTTTAAATGATCAGATTAAATTAGGAAGCAGATTTTGAACACAGCTTTTTTATATACTTTAGGAATAGTTACTTAGAGTTGCACCTATTGGTATACTTCTTGCTATTATCTTTGAAAAAACAGCATTTTCATGCATTACTTGAAGCAAAGCAGTTTCTGTATTTCTCATCCCTTCTTTAAAAAACTATTTAAATACATGTTATTCTTTTTACCAGCTTTCATATAAAATATACAAAATTAAGTTTTCTATTTTAATGTGATTTTAAATAATACATATGGATTTAAAAATGTATTTGTAAACAGTCTTAATAGAATGTTAATACTGTAGTGTAGACTAGATTTAATGACAGATATATATTCTTAGAATTATTCTTTATTGTAAGGAAGATGTTTATGTGTTATGTGTATTTTCTTTTCTGTAGTTTCCCAAATCTATTTCAAAAAGCCCTTACATGAGACACTGTAGAGGGAAATATAATTTTTTGCTTTCTGATACAGAGGCATCATTGGATTTCACTTAATAGATATATCCAATATCAGCAATTAAAAATTATGATGGGATAGAGGAAATTTAAGAATGTAACTTGTTTAGGATTATGATAGAAAAACTTCATTCTATGGATGATGCTTTCCGAAGACAGCATGAATCAACCATTGCAGCACATCAAGCAGAACTGCTACAACTAGCAAATGAAAAGCAGAAACAAATTGCAGCAGCCAATGAAAAGGTGACTGTGCTAAGCAGTTGAAATCAGTTATATGTTAGTCAAATGAGTTTGCTAGCAAAAGGGATCAAATGTTTACCTTTTTAAACTATTGCCTTCGCTTTTCTTTTGGAAAAAAGTTTAGGATTCAAGAATTGGATTCTTTACAAGGAAGAAGTACGAAGGAAAGAACTTGGTAGCTTTTTTCTCTGTGAAATTGTTCAGTTAGGTTAATAGAAAGGTTAGATGTTGACTAGGAAAAGCAAAAAGGTGGATAGGTTGGGTTGTGAAACTGATCAGAAAAGTCAGGACATGTATTTGCTAGAGTAAAATTAGTTCATGTTTCCAATACAAGAATGCATTTTTTTAAAAAAAAAAACCCCAAGGATAAAAGACTATGTGGGTAAGAGAGAGGGGGGGGCATGGCTTTTATCCAGGTAATCCTTGTTTAGCAACCACAGTTGGGACTGGCAAATCAGTTCTTAAGCGAACCGGTCGTTAACTAAAATGGTGACTGTGCTTATTATCTTACTTCATTCAGTTTTCCTTTGCTTTACAGCAGGACTCCCACTCCTGGGCCATGGCCTATTTGGAACTGGGCGAGCTATTGTGTATGCAGCTTCATCTGCGTGAACATCATGCAGATGGACATCCTCGTGTGTAGCTCCATATGTGCGAATGGTGGGTGCATGTGCCTACAGCTTGCACAAATGGAGCTGCAAGTACACACAACTGCCACTCACATGGAACCATCCCCTCCTCCCCCATTCTGCCAAGTCCCAAAGTTGGGGACCGCTGCTTTACAGGCCTGGATAGATTGTAAATGGGAAGACTGGTTACAAAGTTACTTTTTCATCACCATTGTTACTATGAATGATCACTGAAAGGGCCAATCAGTTGCCAAGTGAGGATTACCTATATGTGGTCTCTAGAAAATATGTTGTTGGCAATTCTATACTTTTCTGCCTCCATGGTATATCTTCAATTGATTTCAGACCTGGGTTTACTGATACGTAATAACCATATCAACAACTTTTATTTCAGGTTTACCAGGTTGAAGAAGAAATGCGTCAGTTACTACAAGAAACTGCAAAGAATAAAAAGGCTATGGAAGAGAAAATAAAATGGCTAACAGTTGCTTTGAGTGATATTCAGCAAGGACTCTGAGATACATCTATAGCACACTTGGCATTTGTAACCATCATTACGGATTGTTTGATGATAGGAAATGCTGCCTGTTGCCATAAGTTATATTTGTACTTTATGTAAATATTTTCAGAATAAAAGTTTCCTTTTGTTAAACTATCAGTGACCTTCTAGAAATTTCCATATGAAATTCACTACATCAAATACGAAAAAGTTTCCTTCCATTAAAGCTAAAAAGTATAATATATTAGAATTAGAAGATTGGAAGTGTAAAAGGATAGAATTTCATTCATTAAAGGTTATATAGCCTTAAAAATGACAATATTGCATCAATTGGATCTAGGTATTACAATCCTATGTTTGACTGATTATTCTGAAATTAGTTTTATGAAAGTCATTGGGACTTACCGTTAATAAGCTCAAAGAGCAAGGTTGGCAATCCCTGAAACTAAAGTGCCTAGATTTGCTCTGTGAGTAAAATGGGTGGTCTCTAAATTTGATATATAAATAAGTAAAATAAAGTAAAAAAATTACTTGTTTGTGGTATCTATCATTGCTATTTTATAATTCTAAGGATGAAATAATTTCTTTTTTACTATATGCCTGAATAGAAATTCTATATATAAATGTATAATTCTAGGTATAAATCTGAGATTTTGACTAGAGGAGATTTCAAAATATCAGTAGGTATATGTAATGGAAAAACAAAGTATGAATTTTGAGTTCTTTTTCTACAACTTCTTTTATTAAATATTGAAATATGGTTTTATTGCCTTATAAGAAGACGAAAAAAGACGGCAGAGTTGTACAAATATCTACAAGATACACTAAGTGTACCTTTGAAAGATGTGTGTAATGAACTTTTATTAGAGGCTAAACTCATAAATACATGGACAGAAGCAAATATTACTTTGATACCAAAAGAGGAACTCAGACCTGACACAGATAAAAAATTACAGACCAATATCCTTACTAAATGTGGACTATAAAATCTTCAATAATAATGGAGAGACTGAAAAGATTTCTAACTGAATTTATACATCCAGATCAAAATGGATTTCTACCAAAGAGACAAATAAAAAATAATTTAAGAGTTATAATGGACATATTGGAATATTATGAAATGCATCCAGGGAAACAATTGGCATTAGTATTAGATGCTCAAATGGCATTTGATAATGTTTCCTGGCAATTTATGACTTAACAATTAAAAACAATGGACCTTGGACAACATTTTTTAAATATGATTAAAACAATATATCACAAACAAACAGCAAAAGTGATTGTAAATGGAGATTATACAGAGAATTTTGACATAAGAAAAGGCATAAGACAAGGATGTCCACTATCTCCATTGTTGTTTATTTTTACTTTGGAAGTTTTAAAAAGAAATATCAGACAAGACCCAGAAATTAAAGGACTAGAATAAAAGGTGAAACTTATAAATTGCAAGCATTTGCAGATCACTTGGTATTCATCCTAGACTAGAGGAACATTTAGAGATGATTCCTAAATTATTGGAAAAGATAGAGCAGTTTGGAGAGATAGCAGGACTGAAGATAAACAGAAAAAACCAAAGTGATAGTTAAAAATCTTACAGACAAAAAAAAAATGTCAGAAAAAATAGAATTACAAATAGTCAAAAAGGTTAAAACTTGGGAATATACTTGATAGCAAGATGTTCAACGATAAAAGAAGTTATATATAAAATTACTGAATCAAATAAAACTTGAATTTGATGGGAAAACTTGCAACTGTCTATGTTAGGAAGAATTGCTACAGTGAAAATGAATATATTATCAAATTTTTTTTATTTCAAACATCTATAAAACGATAAATTCTTTGAAGATTTAAATTCTCTGATTTTAAAATTTATTTGGTAGGGAAGGAAAGCTAGAATTAAATTGAAAATGTTAAAAGTAGCTAAGGAAAATGAAGGTTTTGGCTTGGCAGAGTGGGTTTTATATTATCAAGCATCAGCATTAACATGGATAAAAGAATGGATAACTCTTAGAAATCAAAGGTTGTATTTGGAGGGACATGACTTACAACTTGGTTGGCACACTTTCCTATGATATGGGAAAAACAAAATTCATATTTTTAAAACCACTATAGATTAGAAATGCATTATTACTAACATGAGAAAAAATAGAATGTAACATATACTTGAAAATTCCAGGATGGCTTTCAACAATGGAAGCGTTTGTACATCCAAATTTAGTAAGTCTTGAGAAAATATGGACATATAAAGATATTCTAAACTCTGAAGGGAATTTAAAATCTAAACAGATGGAAAATTGGTATTAATCTATCACAGTGGGCGTATTTACAAATGCAAGTGAGATATGATAAACATGTTAAATTGTATGGATTTTATAAAGAGCAGGCCTTGTTTGATCAGATAGTATTAATCTCTGATGAGAAATTAAGAAAATTATAACTATTGAATTTGAAAATGGAAAATGAACAAGTAAAGAAACAATTATGAGTGAAGAATTTTGTATATAATATAGACTTAGAGAAATGGCAACACTTGTAGGAAAGAAATTATAAATTGACAATGTCAACCTCTTACAAAGAAAACTTATATAAAATGTTTTATAGATGGCACTTGCCACCAGGAAGACTAGTAAAAATATTTAAAAATATGTCAGATAGATGTTGGAACTGTAATCACAAGTCAGGTACTTATTACCATGTACAGTGGACATGTGTTAAAGCAAAGAGATATTGGTCAAAAACACATACTATTGGCTAGAAAATATATTGGGAAAACATGCAGATTTTTTTATTAGGTATAATGCCAAAAAAGATTGACAAAACAAAGTATATACTTGATTTTACACGTGATAACAGCGGCAAGAATTATATTCATGCAATATTGGAAAAATGAAGAAATACCACCAGAGGAAGAAATAATTAAAAAAATACTAGATTGTGTGGAAATGGACAGATTTACTCTGAGGTTGAAAGAAAAAGAAGAATATTTTCAAACTTGGGACTTATTTTATGAATGGCTGGAGAAAAGAATAAGGGGTTAGGAATTCAATTTGTATTGGTGAATGATAAACTCAGATAACATGTTTTTTGAATAAGTATTTTTGAATTGTATTAAAAAATAAAAAAAAATTCTCAAAAAAAGAGAAAGAAATATGGTTTTATTACCTATTCTTTCTCTACTGAAAGGATTATTCAGCTCAAGTACGTTTGCCATTATTTTTGGTATTCAATACCATTGTCAGGTCTTTGCCAAATTTACACAGTACTTAGAAACCACCTTCCATCTGCACCCTTAAAATAGCATTTTTTTAAAAAAACATGAGCATTTAAAGAACACTGAAAGGCCCAATTAGGTAATTAAATTCAATTGGTTGCTCATTATAAGAATCCACATAAAAGCATCACTGACAGATGACTCTAATCTCTGCTTGACTCATCCCTTGAAGGAGAGGTTGCTCATTTTCTAGATAATTGAACCAGGGCTGAATAGAAGTATACTGCTTACAATTTAAAACTTTCTATACCTATGTATGAAAATAGACACCTGAACAGCCCAGAACCCTAGACAGAATTAAGGGCCATCCTCTGCAAGGCTGGGAACGCTCAAGTTTTGTACACGCCTGCAAATCTAGGTATCGGTCATTTAATAGAAACAATTGATTTCTGGATCTTAAGATGAGCGTTCTTCAAGGGAGACCCAGAACTATACAATAGGTCCTAGCTGTTCAGCTAGATGGATGGGAGTTGTGGTTGCAGAAATTTACAGCACTGCCAATTAGAGAAAGTTTCATTTTTAACACAAGTGGGATCCGTCGGACTTTGGGGAGCTTGCTAAGCTGGAAAAGCGGGTTGCAAATGTTTCCTCCTCGAAAAAAAACTTCTTTTTTTTTCTTCCCTACACAAAACTTTGTCTCCCAGCAACTGAGAGCTAGCGTCACTTCCTCCTCCCCCACCCAGCAAGCAGGGCCGGGAGGCCCGGAGCTGCTTCATTCAGGGCCAGCTGTGCTCGCTGGCGGCCGGGGAGGAGAGAAGGCCGTCCGCGAGGGCCACGTGGGGCCGCCGCTGCCTGGGAAACCCCACTGGCCGAGGAGGCTGGGGCGATGCAGCATGGCCGCGGCGGCGCTGACTGAGGCGGTTTCTAGCAGCGGCGGGAGCCTCGACGGCAGCGGGGGCTCCGGCGGCAGCAACAGCAGCAGCCGGCACGAGAAGAGTCTGGGGCTTCTCACTACCAAGTTTGTATCGCTGCTGCAGGAAGCCAAGGACGGCGTGCTCGACCTCAAGGCGGTGAGCGGAGGAGGGCGGGCGGGTGAGGCGGAGAGGCTGGAAAGGGAAATAAGGGGGTCTGAGAGATCAAATGGAGAAGCCTCCCCTCCCCACGGGGAAATTTATCCTGCTCGGATGGAGCAGCAGCTTCCTACCTGGGTTCTGCAAGTAAAAAGAGGAACTCCAGAGGGGGAACTCGTGTTTCCAAAACTGAGGTTTCTTCACTCTTAACAACAAAGGTTCTTTAAAAAAAAAAAAAAAAAAGCAAGCAAGCATGCGTCCTGCATAGTTATCACACCCGTGTCACTAAATGCACCGGAAAGAACGTGTTCAGTAGGATGTTCGTGGCCACTTTTCTCCATCATGTCTATTTTATTTTTAAAACAGCCTTGTACAGTGGTTTGCCGAGAAGACTTCCTGATTTACACCTGGATTAACTTGCAATACCATCTCTGGGGCAAAGCCACCCTTTTCTCCTCAAGAGCTCATTTTTTTTCCTAGTCCCTCCTTCCCTTAATCCCTTTTCACTTATACAAACAAACCTGAGAGGTTAGTTAGCCTGTGATAAAATTTCTGGTGAAAAGACATAAAATACTTTTCTGTAGGTTGAGCAGAGATTTATAGACTGGAGAAAGGCCTGAATGTAAATCACCCTTCTCCATGCTGTGTGTGTTTGTGTGTGGTGAATGAAGATGCTAATGCTACACTTCTCTGAAAGCTTGTGTCCATGTTCAAGATAAACACGGTAAGAGATGCAAGGGTTGTTATACTATTAATTCTCCTTGAATAAGCAGTGGAACAATGAATGTTCCTTTGTTCCTGAGAAAATTTGCAGGTAAGATTGTGGCCTAAACATTTGTGGCTTTATCAAGAAATAGGTTTGAATGAATGCACCAG